CCATTTGAGCAATACTAATCATTTCCTTAAGCGAAGGACAGGCTCGACGGTACGTTTGTGATGATCTTGAAGGTCCTCTTAAATTTGAACCTGGGCATGTTTTTCCTGAGGATGAACAGTTGCTATTTTGCTATGCCGTAGAGGTTGTTAATGGTGATACATATTGCCTGACGTTTCGGCAGGACGCCGTCTTCAGAGGCTGAAAAGGTGCCAGTCCCAATAATATACGTCTCAGCCGCTAAATATCTCCTCCTACTTGCCACTCGATTCCTTTTACACGAAAATAGGGTTTGGGAGGAGGGTCAACCCACCAAGCGTATCACTATTAGCTCGTAGCCACTCGATCGCATAGCATGGTTCTTTAATAAAATCATCAGCCAACTCTTGGACAGATGCGCATTAAATGGTATCGTAAAGGGCGTAATAAGAATATTATCTTGCATGCGAGATCCCCCCGTTGTCCGCAATATGTACAAAAGCGACGAGCATATCCAACGGCAGAAGTGAAAGGAAGTAAAACACTGAAGATGGCAGCCGAAACTATGACCTTAAATGGATACTCTGTGAGACCCAGACAATCGAAAAGGAATACGGTAAAGACATGAAGACAAGTTATCAACAAAGTACCCTTGTGCATGCATTTCATATCAGAAAGGGTGACTGCTGCGATTAAACAATGCCTGATGCAGGCACAGCTTGCCGATGATGTTGTTTTAGTGACACGTACCACGAGACAACAAAAGACAATTGGTCCACAACAAGTTGTATGATAAAGCCTGTATCTCATGTGATTGCTTAGTCTGCCCGCTCGAAGAACTTAGAGATTGTGCGAAATCTGGCGTCATTTATGAAATTGAATGCATAAAGTGCTTTGCCGTCTATATAGGTGTGACCGGCCGACCATTGGGTGTACAGATCAACGAACATTTAGCCAGCAAAAAGAGGCAAAGCATGATAAGTCCACTAGGAAAGCATAAAGTGGTAGAACATGGCCGGTGCTGATTATGAAGTCAGGTGCAAAAGTTTGGCCTACGAACATCCGATTTCTGCGCGAAAGGCCTTAGAGTCAGCCTACATTCTTGCTCGGGATCCGAAACTAAACGGCAAAAATGAAAAATTGTCTATCACGAGTGACCTACTACCGTATCTATCGTTTTGCGAACTATAAGAGTTGACTCGTATTTAAGCAGCACTGTGTCATTTCGGCTGCTCATTTGTCGCACTCAGTCACAACAGTCGATTCATCTCGAGTGGCTACGAGCTAAAGGTGATACGCTTGGTGGGTTGACACCTCCTCCCAAACTCTCTATTACCGCCTAGGACCAATCGAGTGGCAAATGGAAGGAGATGTTTAGCGGCTGAGAACGTATATTATTGTGACTAACACCTTTTCAGCCTCAGAAGACGGCGTCCTGCCTCAACGCCAGGCAATAAAGTTGTATCAATTAACCACCTGTACGGCATAGTAAAATAATTGCAACTGTTCATCCTCAGGAGAAATATACCCAGGTTCAAAGATAAGAGGACTTCAAGACATTGGGATTTATAAATGTTTGTGTCTCGATAAAAATTCTGCTGCGCACACTTGGATTGCGATACTTGCTGTGAGATTACGAAAAAGAATTTCTGCCAGCAGGCGAAATTGCAGTTTTGAAGTTACGTTTGATAAGGTACGATTACAAATTTTTTATTTATTTCAATACACTCATGGTGCGCCTAAATGAGAAAAAAAATAGACAAAGCAACTATGAACAAAACGAGAATCCAGCCAGTCTCAATCGCAGGAGTTAAACAAAATAGAGAAATAGAAGAACAGGATGAAAGAACCCATTCCCCAGGCCTACCAAGAGTTCAATCACCTACAGAAGTCAAGCTGCTACAAATATGGATAGATTGTTACAAAAAGCGACATGCTAATGTTCTCGTTGCCAAGTTATTTAGTAAACTTCGAGGGGACGGCCCTTTCGCACGGGCGTTTTTAGCACCACCCTGTTGACCCGACAATGTGCTTTGCTCAGCACGCCGCAGAGTGTGTCGCACATTGCGGTGGTCCTGTATGGAAAACACTGGCCGTGCGAATGCCCTACACCCATCACTCACCTTAAGTTTTTTACTCTAAAGCTCTACGTTTGTAAGTGGTTTTACATTTTTTCTACATTATCTATCCCACTCTTCTTCTCATGATTGATCTGAAGTTTGTGGGTTATTTTATGTAATCTCATCCGCCATTCGCAAATCAAATGCCTTTTACTGATTCTTTGATATGGCTCTATCTCATTGCATATCAAATGGTTTTTACATGATTCGAACTTTGCTTTTGCTCATCTACCTCGAGTGATCTGCATTAATGCCCTCTGTTGATCTGAAGTCTTACAGCGCTTATGAATATCTCATGCATGTATACACATTGTCATTCGCATACCTGTCTTACTGCCTATATGGTTCTGGCACATGCTCGAGTCTTTCAATGCATTAAAGTGCAAGGCCATCAAGGGAAATGGAGCCGAACAAGGAGACCTAGCACTTTGGTGAACAAAAATAGTCCTCAAATGATAGATGGGAATCGTACTAACGTGCACACCGGTGCAGACCAAATTATTCGATCGGCTGAAGGCAACGCGAAAAAACATTTTGCGCTGATCAAAAACCGCGTTCATTCCGTTGAGCTCTCGATAGTAAAACATTCTGATGCAGTTAAAACTCAGAACAAATTTCAACCTCGGAAGAAGGCAATGAAAGGATTGGGACCTGGGTCAAGCACGGAGTGCTTGACCCAGGTCCCAATCCTTTCCAATTCACAGGCATGCCACCTCTGAAAGGTCGTAATGAGGGGTCAGTAATGGAGGTCGTTATCGAGGTGATACTGATGTTAGCGATAACATGATAATCTTTAACAGTGTCAGGTAGGCATTATGCAAAATAAGTGTTCTGATGGGTAAGTTTCTTGTGGAGTTTTTCTTCTTCTTCTATCTATTACTAATTCCAGTGCACTCCTGCTCCGCAGGATGACTCCGGTACGAGCACAATACAGAGTGTCCCAAAAAGATGTGCACACTGTTTGATCGTTGATAACTTTCTTGCTTTCGTGTCTTTTGCCGAGCTTGAGGTACCACTTTATAGAGCGAGGTTCAACTTAGATTTACGGTATAGAGCAAATCACCATTCGCTCTTCATTACTGTAGTGTTACGGTATGAATTTTCAGCATACAGCGTCACTGCGGAATAGGCCTTTTAATGAAATAATTTCAATAAAGAATTTGAAAATTTGTGCAGCAAGGTTTTCAGGCGTGCTGATTTTACTACTTAACATTTCACCAGTTTTTCGAGCTTTCTTGATGGCGTATTCACATTTCTGACGAACATTGGAAAAACAGTTATTACCCTAAATCTGAAATAACTTATGAAAGAAGCACTATACTGAAGCGCAAATTTTATCTAGAATCAGCGACTTCGATTAGCACACTCTAAGAGTTTCTGGCTTGTTTGGCCTTCTTTTTGAGGCAAAATACTGGCAAATTACCGCTTTCAATGGCCCAAAATCCTCCTCCGAAGTTCCTGCAGTGGTCTTACAGTAATGAAGAATCGATCATTCGCTCTACACTGCAAATCTTAGTTGAACCTCGTTCTACAGAATGGTACCTCAGGCTCGGCAAAAGACATGAAAGCAAGAAAATTATTAACGATCAAACAGTATGCACATCTTTTTGGGACACCCTGTAGAATGATTGCGATTATCACCGGAATTCGAAATCTCAAGAAAGGCCGTCCGTAGAAAGATCATTGACTGACTGGTCGACGGTGGGAACGGCACACCTCCTGGCATTTCCTTATAGACATTTTGGAAAGGATCTTTTTCCGCCTAGCGGCCTTTATAAAGAGGGTCTGCAGGTATATGGAAAGGGGAAAGGAGATGGAGGGCCGCATCGGGGGAAGGGAGGACCGCATTGAGGACACCACTGCGCCGGCTGCCCTTGCGGCGGCGAGCTCCCTCGCCGTCACTCCTCGCCGCAGACCCTTGCGCGCCACCCGTGTGTTCTCAAGGTTGAAAAGTTATTGGATAGTTTTTTCTGAATAAAAGGTTGGTTTCTTATCAAAATGTTTACTGCATAAGCACTGGGATCAGTTTCTGGGTTAAAAGAGTATTCGTAAAAAGATTTCGGGGTCAATGGGAATTCGTCATCAAAAACCCCCCTTGCCCACAACCTGCCGGGCCCTCACTAACGGAAAAACGAGTGAGCACTGCCAGGTCTTCGTTAATCACTTGGTCCTAATAAATATTATCGTCTACGTAAATTAACCGTGAAGTCCAGTGTGCCCTCTTCAGAGGAAACGTCTGAAACGGAACTTCGAAAACTAGTCTGGGTCGACATGCATCTGTGACAACTTACAAGCTGATAATGACCGAAAGAGCAGAAGATCATCACTTTATGAGTTGAGGTTGAAAAAAATCAGCGAATTGACGGTGAGAAACATATTTATTTTGTCGACATTTTCGCCCGTTATATTATACAGAAGAAACAGCACATTCAATTACATGCAGTTTTATATAAACAACATTCCAGCATACAAAACGATGCGCCCCCGAGATTCCGAATAACAACGAACGATGAAACATACGTTACAACAAGGAATTGGAGGCTATTGCCAAACGAAAGGCGACCATAAAGGCAGCCATCGTCGTAAGCAGTATAGTGGAGTCAACATAATAGCAGTACAAGGCGAATTCAAGCAGCAACTTTTGAAGAGGTTGAAACATAAAAAAAAGAAGGCTTGGGTTAGATGTGTTTGGTAAAAAAAAAGAAAAATTATGGCTATTTGGACCGTCTCGTGTGACTAGAAATGTACATATGACTCAAGAACTCAAGAATTTGAGCGAAAATCGAAAACAGATTATAGAGTGCCTGTCATGGTTAACGAAGAAGAGCAGCGCTTGTTAGAAAGATTCTTGGCTTTTGAAATGAGTGAAAGAAGCTGTGAGGGACTTGGGTAATCCAGAAAAACCTCAGCCAAGGCATAATGACAGGCACAAGAAGAAGTTGTTCTGGCAATGGCAGAAAAAAATTATCCACTTTATTTGACAAAAACCTGCCTTTACCAGACTGTTTCGAACATTATGGCATAATGAATCAGCACCAACTAGTCGTATTTGAAGAGAGAAGACACCCGGTCAACGCCTCGTTCATTACAATTGTAAATTTGGCAATCACTGCAAACTATGATTTACGAATCGGATGCGCAGTAAAACAATTCTATACAAACTAAGAGAGAAGACGAAAAATGCAGAAAAAGGCGAGGTTAACAACGAAAGAACATGTGATCAGACAATCGCAACGAGTAACTGGGAGCGAATATCTTGGCAGATGACCAGAGCAAATCTCTAGTAGATGTTGTGATCATCGTACCAATGACGTCGTTGGTCGGTTATGCCAGGTGTGTAGCTGTATCTGTTCAGCACAGACGCAGGATCTCTCGTTGTTGAACCTGCGCATACAGCAAACATTTCTTTTTCAAAAAATAGACTAAAGCATCTTTTCACCTGGATATTTTCGATACTGGGGCACATAAGCCTCTCTAGCCACATTTGAAGACGGATATCCGCCGTAGGTCTTGTCATTTGCAGAGCTGGTGTTGTACCTAAAGACTTATTGAATTCGCGGAAATATCATTAAAATCTTACATCGAAAGCTGAATGTCTGTTCATCTGTCTGTCTGGGTGTATCTCTGTGTGTACGTATGTTACGAAAAGAAAATCCTATTTTTGAACCGATCCGGACGGCGGACGAGTGTCGCAGGCTCGTTTTTATCGATCGACGTCGATTCTATCGATTTTTTGCAAACTTTGAGCTACAGGGCCGGGAGCTGACAAAGGAGTGTAAGTAAACATGCTAGTTATGACATAGTAGAGACAGAGAACCGGGATAAGGAGAGGAAAATCTGTAAATGGAAATGACAATCCTTATCATAGTGTAGACAAGGCTGGGCGGAGCCGCGTATGCCAGATACTTTCAAATAAGGGAGAAAGACGTTTGATGCAGTTTCGATAATAACCATCATAAACCCCATTTTGATGCTCTCTTCCGTAAAATTAAATTCAGCTTCATAAAGGATTGACTTGCACGGCGGTCTTATTATCAGGTTAGTGCAGAAGTTTGTCTGCACAATTTTTTTAGAAAATTTCTGCTTACTGGTATGCTAGTAATCTAATGGTGCTATTTGGAAGACCGTTCGCTTCGAGACCCGCCGCGATTTCGCTCTATTGGAAGATTTTTGGAAATTGAGCCAACGATTTTTTATATATCAGACTAGTGGACCAGTAATCTAAAGGTGCTATATATTTGGAAGAGCGTTCGCTTCGGGACCGCCACGCGGTCTCCCGCTATTTGCCGATTTTTGAATTGAGTTAACGATTCTTTATATATCAGATAGATATATGCACTTTGTAATGACGCTTTAGTAACTCTTTGGTACTCTTTGGTAAACATAGATTTCACAAGTAAGCCCCAAGGATGGGAAATGTCTGCAGGTTTCATCTCAAAGGCAGTATCCGGACAAGGCGGGGGTTTTGGGATTTCAAAGTCATGCGAAAGTGGCCTCTTTCGGGCACAGTATCGCGCAGTACGAGGTTATAACATTCGACATAAAGCAAGAAAAACGGTCGGGGGAACTTACGCCTTGGAGCGGGGTCCTCCGACCTGTTTGAATTCTTGCTATGGGTGGGGGAACGAACTCCGCCAGTCTGAGCCCGCCTTCGCCTTCAACTGATCCTTTTGCAATGTTGTTGCATGTCGTCGCAGGACCATTAGACCGCGCAGGCGGTTTAAACTGGCGGAGTTCGTTCCCCTACCCCTTGCTATGTGGCAGATTAGCAAGTAGAGTTAGTCAAAATCAAAATCGTAGAGTCCCGCAGCGACTCTGCGTCTCAACCATGGTGGGAAGTCGAAGGCTTTGGAAAACGCATGTCCTCGCCGTTTTCGCGGCTAATGTGGATTTTCGGACTCAGCGTTGCGGATAACCCCCGGTAAGTGAATCTTCTAAAAACCGAGTTGCCCGGACACTGCCTTTGAAGGCAGTGGCTCGGCAAATCCTCGGAAGTTTCTTCGCTTACCGGGGGTAATTCGACGCGCAGAATCCGAAGATCCAGCTTGAAGAGCGCAAAATTGGCGACAGCCAACATTTTTTAGGACCCCTTACTTTGAATCTGGATGACTAGAACGGTTCCCGCCATACTTAGAGACGCAGAGTCGTTGCGGTACCCTCATGGTTACAACATTGCGGCATGCCTCCTCTGACGGCGAGAGGGGTTTCGCAAGCCCGTCCGAGCGCGTGTAGGAGTAGCTTGTGCGTATGGGTTTAGGGGCAATTTTCTAGGCAGCGGCAGCATGACGTGCGCTCGGACTTGCTCAGTTTTCATGTTTGGGATGCAAGCAACCTTTCATATCAAAATTCCGAGATGTTCGCTTTTGCCGAGCCGCTGCGTTTGAGATTTGGCCAGAGCTGAAAAAAACACGCTGTCAACGCGCTGTTCCGTAGGTCTTCAAACAAAATACAACAGTTGTAGCAGTGCCACTGCAAGCTTTTACAGAGAAGAATTGGCAGAAAATCTGCCTTGAACTCGGAGAAGTAGAAGGCAAGCTGCGGTTGCACAAGACTGGCGCTGCTATGCAAAGTTAAAACTGGGTATTAGGAGGAGAATTTTAGGAACGGCAGCTATGACAAGCAACAACAATGGCCACTATTTTTGCATTAATCTGATACTAGATATCGGTCAAAGTAAAAAGCCTGCAAGGAACATAGAAAGCTGGGTAGTATGTGTAGTTCAGTCTCTTTCATTTTCCAACCTTCATTCCGTCGTCGAAAAATCATAAAAAATACCCTGAGCGACATCTGTTATTGAGCAAGCATTGAGCACATACCGCCCCGGATAGTAGTCGTTGCTTGGTTGAGAGGTCACATGTGTTGTGTCATTTTTGCGGAATAAGGATTTGATCTTTTCAATAGGTGAACTCGGTCGTTTGTAGTTGGATAGGTCGTCATACCTAAACAATACCCTTGATATACATTCCAAACTAGACGAATTTTAAGTAACACATTGTTTCATCAAACCATAAATGTAAGATACTGAGTAGAAGAGCAGTTGCTTTCAGCTCATGCTTCTTCACCTACTTGGAAAAAGCAGGGTTAGTTCAAAGGAAGATAACAGAGGAGTGTGAGAAGCTGTTCAGATTTAAGAATGTTTTCGAGGATCTTGTCTCAAAGGGTGAGTCCGAAGGAAAAGTACCGAAATCACTCGAGTTATACTCATTCTTTTGACCAGGTCGATAGCGTGCACGTAGGCGCATCCGACTAAATTTCTCTTTTTTCACAGGAAGTCTGTAAATTGAACAAAAGTTCAAAAAATGTATAGTCAACTTCTCAAAATTTTCTGAGCATATGCAAGGCTAAGGCCACTTTAGATAATTCACAAATTGAATTCCAAGAGCTTCTTAGCATGATGTTGAGGCAAATCTTCCTGACTTGTACACTAAACTGGGCTTACCCATTTGTAACCAATTTCCCGTCAGATCCCAAACGTAGTTCGCTGGTGCGTCTTCGATTGAAGGACAAAATTGACCGCTTTTTCTTGGGACCTGAAACGATTTTAGTTCGCAACCTCCCTTTGCTAAAATTTCAACTGAATCTTACTATCTTCGACGGGTCTTTCATGGCTGGAATTGGCGGAGAGTCTCGCATTTCCACTACCGCCTAACAGTTGGTTGGCCGTCTGAATGTGAATATGAAAGGCTGGGACATATTTTTGTAAATCTACCCAGTACAGTTTAGCTGCTTTCTCTCCTCACTTTCATACAAAGCTACGAACCGCAATTGAAAAGTAAGTCAAAAAGCTAGGAATCAAATTCATGTTGAGATGTTTGAGGACACCAGAAAGCTTTGTATATCGATCCTAAGCCGCGTTCAAAGTTGTCCGGATGCCCGCGCTGCCAGAGCCGTTCCACCGCCGTGCTGGAACCCGTGTAGACTTGGAGTGCGTGGACTGCGTGTTGATCGATCACTTTGCCGGCACTTCTGGCACGGCGCTAGCACGGCTGTGGAACGGCGTTGGTGCGGACGACTTCGGACACTGTCAGTCTACCGAGACAAGAATTAGTTTCCCTAAGTATACCGAGGTTGGAAAGCTTTGATTTCTAGATCACAGCGAAAGAGACACTTGAGCTGCTGCAGATGTGCGAAGCGCTTTTAGCATGGATATGCACCCATAACACCTCATAGCAACTTATTAGCAAACTGAGAGACGTTTCAAGCAAACTGAAGTACCCCGTGTCCAATGAGTTTTTGCTTGTAAATTTCCTCAAATAATGAACCTGCTGTTCCATACCTGTCTCTGCGGCGATGCACTCTTTTCTAGGGACAAGTGCCTTCGCAAACGATCAATTACCTAAAAATACTGTAGCTTTACCAGCACTAGCGGTAGCCTAAGAGTCTTCTAAATGCGGCACGTCAAAAGTCACGCAAAATCCAATCGGAATAGGGAGATAAGCAGCATGTCGACTAATTACGCAATACACTGAGAAGAAATAAGCAAGGGTGGTTCTTCTAGATATGGCGGACGCGTCTACGGTATTTGGGGATCGAAGATTCCATCAATTCAGAATATGAAACATCAAAAAAACACTGCACACGAACCGAGCGCACCGGTCCCACATGGCTTGACTGATCGCTTCGTCCCATTAGACTGGAATCCTCTGGCATGCCGCGTTGCTCAAGATCAACACTCTAAAAGACAACACAAATAAAGGCACGCGCAAGGTGTTAGAAATCCGAGAAAAAGAGCAAACCTATTGCTTTAGTTCAACACTCGAAGTTCGCAGTCACGTACCTGTTTATTTTTTAGAATGCTTCTTGGCTGACCGTTGCTATCCTTCGTCACACTGCTACCTCTACCACTGGAGGAATCATGGTAGTTAACATAGGTATAGTCAGGAAGTGGCTCTGAAGATGCTGCATATGGTATGCCATTGAGATAAGAAATTCCAAAAGTTTTTCTTAGGGAAGCGGGGATACTAAGACTAACTCAGATATTTGAATCCTATTAACTCTGTCTTCGTTTCTTCTAACCCAAAAATTCTGCTCGGCCGTTCCGTTCAAAACTTCACCGACCCCGCCCACTCAATGAAATTGGGCGGGAATGGTGGAGTTGAAGCGCAATTTTTAGGACTTGACGCATAAATTGGCAGGTGGCGTGGGGCTACAGTGTACTTGGGGCTTACTTCCTAACACCACCAAAAGCCGAGAGGGGTCCATTTTGTAGATTCACTGCCTTCAGTAAGTCGGTATACTGAAGCGGAGCCAAGTGTGCCAAGCCAAGCTCTCTCACCGTGTACGTTTCGAAAAAATTTACTTCGTCAGTTTTGTCATTAGATATCAGCAATGACGGACAAAAGGGGCAAAGAGCGTCCGCCCTCTCATCCTTCCACAAGATGTGTCGCAAACTTTCAAATTTGGTGTAATATGTTGTAAAATTGTGCATGACTTGTTCATGTTTGCAACTAGGAATAACTTCCACAAGTTTAAGATCAGATTAGCTGTAGGCGAGGAGAATTGTCCGGAAGAAAACTCTGACGAGTTTCTCAAAGGCTAACGGCCTCATCAGTGAAAAATCGCTGTCTCCCCCAACCCCCCCCCCCCTCCCGTCCACCGAATACATTTCCTCACAAGTATTAGGTTGTCGGATAATTTCTGTTACACTTTTTATTTTGATTCTTAAAAATCTCAGAAGCTTTGGAAATATCTCATGTTCACGGTGTATGGGCAGGGTCAAAAGGCCTATACAAGGGTACCGTCGCATCCGCGATCCATGCGCAAAACACTCACTTTGTGGCTGAAATTTCGTTTCTTTCCATTTTTGTAAATGAGCTGGCGTTCTCTCATGTGATGAGCGACAGACCGGACAATGTGGTAATCAGGTAGAACATAGTTTGTAGCGTTTAGCTTATAAGGGGGGATAACGCAGACATGTCTGCACACGTTTTTCTGAGCGGTTCAAATATCAATGTGCGCCATCTTTGCAACCATAGGAATTTTTACGAAGAAAACATCTTCAAAAAATCTCAAAAAATTATTTTTATGTTTTCTGTATTCATTTCTATACGATGCACATAAAAAGAAAAATTTTGGAAAATTTTTGAATTTTTTTGTTATTTTTTTTCACCCCTCGTTTTTGAAACGTTAAAAGCGTCGGAATGCCTCCGTGTAAGAGCCATTGCCAAAATACATTCTAAAAAAAATTCTGGAGAGGAAAAACGCAAGTCGGCGCAGAGAAAAAATCAGACAAAAACTGAAAAATTTGACTGCTTTTACAAAACTGCCGTAAACTTGTTGGTCATTAGTGCACTTGCGGCATCAATCATGCTGGTGGGTAGACCCTGCTATGTCCCAAGCGTGTTGCAGATTTGGGGTTTTCAGAAAGCTTCTGGAATTTATTAGAAATTTTAGAAAAAAGTGTAACAGAAATTATCCGACAACCTAATATTATAAGGTTTAACTTAAAATTTGCTCACTTCAATAGGCTTGCTCGCAAAATTTGCGATTGGGATCGTTTCATTACAGTGTGGTGCTTGATGGAGGAAAGTTAGATATAAAATATGTTTGGCTACTCTTTTTAGAGCCTGTTCCAATAAAAGATTGATTTGTCTTTTCCCGGCTATTCTTTTTCCGATGTTGTTTACACCCACCTCCGTAGTCGAATTCATCAGCGATGCCACGATTGCGATCCATCGAACGTGTTCTCGTGTAAGACTGCCGATCGCGAGCGGTGGGACGGAACCTACAAAACCGCTCAACTAGCTTATATTTTCATCTTGTGGACGAGTTACCTATTCACAACCAAAGGATTGGTGTCTAGTGTATGCGAAGTTGTTGATGAGCTGTAACTGTCAGCTCCTGGTGTAGCTGAAATAATGATTTTACGAAAAAAAACAAATTTTATTGAAAACAGGCTTACATCCTTTTTCAAACTCATATGGAGCTCTCTTATAGGAGTAGTTATCATCGAATCTTCTATAGGGGTCACTTCGATACTGATCCATCTTGTATGTATCTTCTGGCTAAATGAAAACGTTGTCGATGGACATGTCCATAGATCCAAAAAAAAATATTAGGTTGGTGCAAAAGTAATGCGCGTTTTGCGAGTTCTCACTTTGACGTGCTATAACTTTCTAAAAAATCCATATTTGTCAGTGCGGCAAAGTTCATCAGAGGCACCAAACCATTCTCTATACAGCGCACATTGCCTTAGGTTAACTTCGCAAATCGGTGGAAAAATATGGAATGATAAGCAAAAAAATTTTTTTTCGGAAACCTCGTTTTTAACTGATCATAACTTCCTTCAAGATTTGTCTATATAAATGATACGTTGACTATCTTGTAGCCGCAAGCCAGTAGTACAAAATTAGTACAAAAGGGCTCAAATAAAGAATATTTGCGAAAAGGAAAAAAATAAAATTCAAAATTGTCCGCTTTTTTCGACATTTTTTCATAGCCCTCAAAATCCTAAAATATGGAGATTTTTGATTTTCTGTGCACTAAACAGCTTCCACATTTCTGCAAAAACTGTCAGTAGGAGGCCCACCCTTACGCTTACAGAGATGAGCAGAACTTTGGCGATTGCCCTTTTCAAAGGAAATCTATGGGCCACAGAATGGCCAAAAACATCACTCATGTTGAGGCGCCGAGATCTCCATCTAAGTAATTTCTAGGAAAACAGTAAAGCATGCATTATGTAGAAAATTTTCACTACATACAGTAGTTAAATTTTCAAAAGAACGCCTTTACTCGCGCTTGAATTCTGGCCCAAAAAGTAAGTGCAATGAAATTCTGGTTTTGAGTGCTCTTGTATGAAGCTCTATAAATTTTTAATGAATGAGGCTAGAAGCTTCTTTCAACAACCGTTGAATAGAGCATGAAAAAAGCTTCTTGACAGATATCGGGTAAGTTCCATAGGAGAAACTTCGATGGAGATAAGCTATCTTGAAACAAGGGCTAGAAAAACGCGCATTACTTTTGCACCAACCTAATACTTTCGAAGAAAACTCTGCTTGCTCTGTGATACAAATTTGGAAACTGATGATTTCGAAAAAAAGCGCTCCCTTCTCATCCCCGTCGATATTCTATTTTCCCCTTTGGCCGATTTTTGGTGCGCAGTTCGACCTCATGTATATCAAACATGATTCGCTTCGCAACAGAACGTGAATTTATGGGGCCGGCAACTGTGACCAGGGTAAATGGGATTCGTAGTATTTCATCTACCCTCTTTAGCCATATTTTTCATTTCTGCATTGTTGCAAAAACAGTAAGAATTTTCAAAATGACTCCTAATTGGGACGCACGTTTTTGTATACACATTAAGTAATTAGGAAACTGTCTATCGCGCGTGAGATAATTATTTATTGGTCAATGCTGTCAGCTCAGCTAAGAAAAGAATTTCGAGTTAGTGCAAAATCAACCCCTTTATTTGATAGTGATCTGCGGTAACTTTTCAAACGATAAAGAGCTACGGGTTTGTCTAAAAAACTTGCACACCAAATGTGATGACCCTTCATTCCTACATAGGTTGATGCTCCCCTTTACACTTTGTTGCACTGAAAACGTAAACTTTTTTTAATCTATTTCCCAGTCCTCTTTTTGAACTAACTGAACCATTTACAACTTCAAAGTTTGGATAGGTCGTCCCGAAAGCATTGTCGCATTTTTTGAGTAAGCGCCGCATCTCCGCCAGAATCAAGATTAAAAGACGATTTTGGTGCGCTTTTGATACAGCTTTTCATCCTCTTTTAGATAACATGTAAATATTGCATTGCAGCAAACGAGCTTTTGAAAAATATCAGAATCTGCCAGCCATGGTTTTTGCCTTGGTCATCTTCTCCCCGAAGGGGTACAGTAACAGATAAAAAGAACAAACTTAATGTTTGGCGATTTGGCAAACTCAATTTTTCTGAAGTTATTGACAATTTGTAATGAATGAATACTGCTTAAATATCGTTTCTAAATATTCAGTACAGTCAAGGTTCATTCGCTTTCGGTAGTGTGGTTTCTAAGGTATTACGTGCAACCATGGCTTCAAAGCCAAATTTTTTTCCGAAGAAATCGTTGTGAAAAAATCAAAAAATTTTCGCCATCAATGATAAACGGCTTATGAGGTTTTCCTTTTTTTTTGAGCGTTACTTAATCTCTGCCAAAGGAGTGTAACAGGAATTTTCAAAAATGGTTGAGGCGTGGTAGCGCTAGCCAGTTATACCCCTGCTAACCTTTCTCGTGGCAAAATTATTCGTTGGACGATCACTGGCGGTAGAGTAGTATGAAGCTGGTCGGTAGGATGGAGCTCCGCTTCTAAACCACAAATGTCCCAAATGCGAACATCTTTTATGAAGTGTGATTCTTACGGAGTATGAACGTTTCTTTCCGCATCTCTTTCAGCCCTGGTCTTGTACACTTCGAAACGACGCGGTTCGGTTGCCCATGATTGATTCTGGAAAAGGGTGCATTCAATCACAGACTTTCAGAGTTTTTATCAGTTTACGACACAATGAACATAATTCTCTCGAAGACAACACTACAACATCGGCCAACCTTTTATAACTCAGTCTCACGAAGGCCAGAAAACCTCTGAAGGTTTTGTCTCGAATGTTACACCAATTATTAATGAGTAATTACCTCGTCGAGTTTCTTCGAATAACTTGAGCTAGCGTTGGACGAGTAGTAGTTGCGAGTATCGCTAGCTCCGTAGCCACCGCTTCTGAAAGAAAGTGCATTTCATAATGTGAGGAAAAGGAATGCAAAAAATTTTATTTCAAACTTCCTGAAGCTCATACGACTCTTCACAAAAATAATTGCTGTTCGTTCGAAAGTGTGGTGTTCGAAAATCTAACGTGAAGAGAACTTGGCAGGCAAGCGGCTGACACAAAACAGAATTCCGGACAATCCCCGGCTGTGAAACTGGACAGGGAAGAAGCTGTCTGACAGCTATTGCGCCGCTAATTGCTTGCTAGTTTGAAAGCGCATTACGGAAATGACCAGAAAATGGGAGAGAAGGGAAGGAGAAAGGGGAAAAGAAAGGCATGGACAAACTTGTGGAAACATTGGCAGCTGCCATTTCTGTCAAAACTCCTGTAATTTCGTAGCTCACTTTTCACAAGTGATAAACCAACAATGGGAAGTGAATATTAGAGAGCGTAAGGGCTCGAAATCAAGGTTGTCTTACATTTTTCTCGTTGATCTAACCATACCTGCGTATCCCAATTTCTCAATCATTCTTTCCCAAAACAAACAAAAGAGCTCGGAAAACTACGTAAATGTGTGCCTTCCGAGAGCATTCAATTAAGATCTTACAAGAGAGCTAAAAATCACCTGTAATCCTGTGATGGATCATAGATAGAGCGAAGTTCTTCTCGTAGTACAGCAGCATTCTAAAAAAAAACTCCTGACTGATTGCAGGGTTGTTTTTTGAGTTCTAAGATTGATTATTTTTTAAAGTTGTTCATAAAAAAACACATTTTCTTAACTGTTTCAGAATTTCTTGGAAACAAAGCGTGAAGCAAACGTACGGGATTTCATGTGAATTACTACAAGACAGAGTAGTAATTATACACTTGATTCACTTTAAGAGCACCTCATGAATAGAGCAAAACTTTCGAAACTAAATTTTACTCTAGAGTGTTTCTCAAAGTATCGCCTCAAACTCCATTTTATATAGAGCTTTGTGTCAGAAACAAAGGTGACATTTCGAATATGCGGCGTTTTCCTTTGGCGATTCTAGTATTCAGTACTGATTTTATCGGATAGAGTAACTATCTGTAATATTTCTATTTCCATTCTTCCGATGAGTTATGTCAATAAAAATTCTATTTGATATGTATATGCAAACGAAATAAATACGGCACAAACCCATTCTAGGGAGTAGATGAGCATACGACGGGATTGTAGACGCTAAGACGTGGAAATGTGACTTGCATGCAGCAACGCAGCGAAAAAGTTTAGTGCGACGAAGCAAACGGCAAATTACTGCTGAATCGCTCGTGTAATGCGGAAAAACACTTTGATCTGCTGGCAAAGCAATCAGTCGTCCGGGTCGTCGTAAACAGAAAAACTTCTTGGAATTGAAATTTAAAGGCAGGCGGGAGGATTTGCAATGGCTCATTCAGTTGGTATGCAGTCATATAAAAGCATTTAGGTACTCTTTCTGACTTTACAGTTTTGGCTTGTAGAGATAGATGCTAAAAGAAGAGTACATAGGGCAATGTCTTCACTTCTTAACGTGTACAAATATAAATGCATTTTGAATTTATTTTCGTTCTGATTAGTTACACATGGTGACAATTTGGTCACTCCTTGCAGATAGACTAAACACACATGCAAAAAGTACCCACTCTCACTTAGTATTTTTCTTCTCAAGGCGCTAGCCTTCTTACCAATCCACTGAACACAGCGTGAGTTACCGCTAGCGCACAACACTTTTTTGAAGATTTCATTGCGATTTTCATAATTTTCTCAGACCTTTGCGGATGGTATGAATTTGATAAAGAACTCTAAAGGTTTTTTTATCAAAAATCAGTATCAATAAAAAGCAGTAGTGACTAAATTCTAGAAATATGCGCTATAAAAAGTTGAGCAAGCTCGAGCTCGCTTTGTGAGACATGTTGAGCTGAGTCTGGCAAGAACTGTCCCAAAATTCTCGAAATAGCATAATGGGAAGAGGAACGTCATTTTAGTAACGACGATTTTGAGCTAGGGACTAAAAGAACACTGCACATTTTTCAAATTCAATTTCTCAAACCAAGTTGATAGAGCTCATTTTGATTTTGACAATCTCAAGGCGTGAATGACTTGAAGTCAATTCCTGGCGTAATTCAACAACTTTAGATGCTAGAATTCGAAATGCCTTTGACTACATCGTTTTGACTAAATCACTAGAAAAATTCTGTATCTAGTACGTTCAGCTATAAACTATTTGATGAAGCGCGAGCTTTTGCTAGAATAAGCTACAGGGTTCAAGAATGAATCGTTCGGCAAAACACATTATTGCAGGCTTGATATTTGCATGATAAGAGTAGGAGGGATTTGGAATGATTAAGTCTAATGATGCGCATATCACAATGATGTAAGATTCCGAATCGAGCAGAGAATTGAAGTGCGAAAAAAATTCTTTGCATTTTGTTATGCTTTCTAGACTTACATACAATGTCTTAAAACGTGCTCATTGCCATAGTACTATTACAATAGATTACTTTCTTTAGTGAGTTGTGTAAAGTGCAGCAGTGCACTGCAAGTGCTCTTTTCGCGGAAGTTTTAGCACCTATGAAAAACTAGTTTCCGTTTTTGTTGCAAAAATGCCTACAGTATAACTGTTTGCGTGTTTTCTTTTGAGCCGTAAAAAATGGTGAGCAAACCGTGTGGGGGCAGAAAAGGAAAAAAGAGTTCAAGAAAATTTAGAAATGTTATCATCATCTACAATTTCCATTTAACATCTCCGAATGACCCATATGCAAAACGGAAGAAAAAACATGAAACTCTACAGTCACAGACATTTTGAGTTAGAAAAACTTTTTTGGTAATCAAGGACGTGATCGAATCAGTAACGACCCTTGCGAGTAGAAAAACTTTGCAAGTACTGAAAGGACGCATACTAGGGCTATGACTGCATTTCGAATCATCTGAAGGGCTGTAGCTTCTAATGTATACATGCGATTATAAAAACAATTTTTGGTTTTTTAAAATTTTTCAATCAATCGGTAAGTTCAACCTTTATTGGAGAGCTTATACGGTACCCGTAAAAACCCAAAAGAAATCCAAAATCCAAAATCCAATCTAAAAAACGTAAAAGAAGAATGAGAGAATTTCGAAAGTTTAGAGCGAAAATGGGCGAGAGTTAGTGTTACAGAGATACTTATCTATCTATGGTAACCAATGCTCGTGAAGGTGAAAATGAAACAAGTAAATAGCCCTTGATTCTTTCTCATAGAAGCCTAATAGGAAACTTTGTCAAAGTTTCCAGGGTTTTGCAAAAGAAAGTGAAGAAAATTTAATATAATATAACTTATGTTACGACCTGATATTATAATTATTCCAGCTCCTAAACATAAGCAGAACTATACTCAACCGGAATTTCAGTAGGCTCGTATTGTTGAATCTACATTGATGAAAAAAATGAGCACAGAATCAATCATATTTAATCAACTCAAGGTTTTTGCATAACACTTACATTGGATCGACTTGGTGACGACGATCGTTCGTCTCGCCGTCGATAGCTGTCATCGTGATATCGTGGACGTACATAGTTCAGAAGGGACGAGCCGGGAGTAGCTGCGAGCAAACAATGTTTTTTGGTAGTCTTGGCGAATTCTCGAAATCGGTTACTTGAATGGTGAGCATAGAACGGATCGGCAGCAGTGGTGGCGTACGGGACGTTTAGACCGGGCGACATCGGCAGTTCTGAAGAATTTGACACCTAAGGGCTGCACGACTGGATCGTATCCGATATGAGTGTGGATGGAGAGCAAAAACCAGTACAACACTCACCATCATAGACGCTTTCTGTAGCCTTGTCCAGCTCCCTGCAAAAACGAAATGCAATCATGTTCAGAACGCAGAGATACGGAACAAATGGGACACATAAGAAGTGAGCGCGGAGCAAAAAAGTGAAACAGGACTGATAAAAAAGCACACAGAAGCTGTGCGTTAGGGCTACCGTAGCAATTCCGCAGGTGCGCCGATGGTGCGATTGCGGATCCGCCGATCGCGATTCTTGCGTCGTATGAACGCTGCCGTCGACTCGTAGTTCTCCTTGACTCCAGCGGTCGGACTGTAAGCCAGAAGCGTTAGATCCACTCTTTCTTACCTCAGCTACGGCTATCGTAGGCCTACAACCTCGGGTTCTGGGCTATCTGCGGTCAGACGCGCACTACACTCACTGACATTTACACCACAATATAATCAAATTCAGGGTTAGCCAAGGCCACAAAACAATCAACACTTCCGTTTCACCCAACCCTTCTACCCAGGGTACAGTGACCCGGAAGTGCGACTTTGCACGATCAGAACGACACAACGTAATGAACTGACGTCAGATAAGGGGCGAGCCATGCGCCATAAGCATGACTCGGGCGAAAGAGTGGATTTGTATAGGAGAGCCGTCTAAATGTCAGTTCCTTATGATTACAGTAATCACTTGCGATCAGACCCACGCATCGCACATTGAATCTTCTTTTGTTAATGTTCAACTAACCGTGATTCTTCAGTCGGACGAGGAACTTCTTTTACTCGAGGCTGCTGTACTTCTTGTAGACTCGTCTTTGGTTCGATCGTAGCCTTCAAAGACAGGTTCCGGTCAGCTACATAGCTACATGCGTTTTCCATAACGAGCTTACCTGTGTTGTGACCAAACTGCTTGCGCTAGGCCTCTTATACGGCTTTGGTTCAGCAGATGCTGGTACTTGAGCCGCGGCTGAAGCCGGTGGAGGTTGCAATTTGAATTCGGCTACGGCAGTGTAATATCGCGTTGCAGATGTCGGAGTTTTTGGTTCTGGAATGGAAAAATAGCACTACGACAATAAGCCACTTGAAGAAGCAAATCCAAGAATAATTTTGCTGAAGGGACATTCTGGATGAATTCAGATCGCTAAGTTCACTTTGCGCACTTAGATTCATGGCTTAAAAGCAGCAAATCAAAAGTGGAATTCTTCAAAGCCTTTACCTATTCACAGCAGGAAATTATGCCAGAATTAGAAAGGAGAGGGTTCTGCTATTAAACTATGAAGAATAAAAAATTCCAAATATTTACAGTCACATGGGTGTGCGAGACAAGATTTCCGTGAATTTGGGAAATCTTGTCTCGCACACCCATGTGACTGTAAATATTTGGAATTTTTTATTCTTCATAGTATAATAGCAGAACCCTTCCTCTATCAAATAGGATAATATCAGCTGTGTATCAGTGACGGAAAGAAGGGAAAAGGGAAAGGAGGCAAAACTTCGCAGAGTGAATTTTCTGAAAGCAAATTATAAAATTGCGTAATTGACTTGTTTACATTTGTAACTTTCGAAAATTTTCCAAAAATTTGCAGCCTTATAGAAAAAATGTTTTGCGAAGGCACTTTTCTTAAAATCTCGGGCTGTGGAGCCGCAAAAATTTTGCAAAACAATAAGAAATCCTCCGAAGCTGGTCGTGGCCAATCCCACGCCGCCCCACTCGAAAATTTTTTTGTTTCTCACCGAAGTTCTCGGACCGCCAATGTATTGCATCATCGACAAACAGTATAAAGAAGAAGATAAGTAATTTTGATTAATAGCTCTAATTGACATTTACTTCTAGCACTTTCGTCTGACTAACATTGGTCACTGTATTCCGGGATAAAAGAACTGACCATGAACACGATTACTCGCGAGTTTTATCTGCGGACTAAGCTTCCACAAAGTGTCTCTCAAAAAGCAAACTTTTATTATACTTTAACGAGTTGTGTGCTAATTAATTAGAGGTAAAAGGATAAAGGATTTGGTGCTCTCCATCTTGGCGGGCATGCGGCGAACGCACTCTACTTCAAAGTTGAAGGGGCTGCTGAAATTGTGAGAGCATCTTACAGTGACTTGTAGGGGTCAAGTGGTTACCAACTCATTGCTTTTATTCTCCCAGATTGCTCGGGTCTCGTTTTATCAACCCTGGAGGGTGGAGAGCTTCGTTAACCTGAGGGCGGAATTAAGCCCCGATCCGATTTGTTCTTAGCGGCGCCTAATACCATTACGCCACTAGTCCCGTGTTTTCAATTATAGGCACAATTTTTGGCGAAGTTGTGATATTCAGTCAACACTTGAACTAAGCTTTGTCCACCGATGCACTTTGTTACTTGTAAAAAAAACATGTATCAAACTCACCAGTAGTGAAAAACCACTGTCCTTCCCTCTTCTTAAATACATTTAGAAAAAGTCTTAACTATAGGATTGTTATACTCTCGCAGAGTTTTTTCGCACATATTATTAATGCTTGGATACTGTTTCCAGAAGAGTTTGAGCTTTGTTGTTTCCCTACTGCTTTTTTACGGACGACATTCCTACTAACGCTAGTCATAGTCGGTCGCGCGAGTGGAAAAGGCAGGTACGAAACAAGCGAGGAGATTATATTCCTTGCGGGAGCGGCTATATAGGGTGCAATTACTAGTTTGACTGAAGTGCCCGCCAGCATATTACCTCAGACCTCACTTCATTCTATGTAGGCGCAGTCCACCCCAAATCTTTGTTGGTGGAATTTTGATGCAGTACAATTGCCCAAGTTTCTCTTCAAAAGCCGCTAGTACGAAGCGAGAAAAAGGGTTCAGAAAGTGGATCTGTTAGGCCGTCACGCCCATCAATGTGAGTTTGAATCAATGAGCACGAAACTGATTGTAAGCTCCAAAATACTTGAAAATGCCGAAAATATGTTTCTTACAAAAAATGATTTTCGGCATTCCTATGTACTACTGATTTCAATTCCGCGCACATGACCTTTAGCCACTCACGTTGATGGGCGTGGCGACCCCAACAGCATCCACCTTCTATACCGACTTTATCGCATTGTAATGTACCTTTTGCAGCGGCACTTGGGCAATAACTAAATTGGCGGCTTCGTTGTACTGCGTCAACCCTACCACCCTAGTAACAGCTTCACTAGCCGAAGCGCAAACTCAATGCACGTCCAATATCCAAGCCAGCCAAGTGTACTGGAACTAACTTTCTGATATAGGTGTTCATAAAAATATGCATGATTTGCCGGTAGCTGATGGATGCTCTCTACAAAAATCTCCATTTGTTAATTTTTCAACCAAATCATGCCCAAACAAAACTTCTACTTCACATAACAGCACCCAAATGCCACAAACAAATCAAGCATGGCTTCCTTATGTGCGGGGCGGAGACGGAATAAACATAGGATTGACATCATCAGTACCTGGTGAAGGCGAAGTGTGAATGCTAGCTGGAGCGCTTTGCATAAACGACAGCTTCCTCGCCACCACAGCTGCTACCGCTGGCGCCGGTTTCGTTTCAATCTTTTCTGAATGTTAGGCAAACCATTATAGTCAAACAAGCAAAAAAAGAAAAATAACAGAAGGAACGAAATTGCGAAAGAGAAAAGAAAATGGTTAGCATGTATAGAATGCCTAAGATCGAAATTTGGTATGTTCACTATGCCCAATAATTTATGTCATACGCATCGCAAGCAGCAAATTTGGCAAAGTAGCGGTTATTGATTTACAAATATATTCTTATCCTTTGTTTTTAGAAAAGAAACTGCTATGATATTGCACCAGTGATATTTATGAGAAGAGTCGGTAACCAAACTCTCAAGAACCTTGTTTGGAAAGTAGGAAGGCAAAATTCAACCAGTAGCCGTCTTAATTTTTAAAGTGTTTTCATTGATGGATGGCAACTCGAACTCCCATATCATGAATGAGAATGCTAAAACTTTGAAGTATAAGGTGCTGCTCACCAAACCATGCTCGGTGATATACTATCTAGCCTACAGGCAGTTCATATAAGTGATCCGTTTCTCTAACAATATCCTTGAAAGAAGAAAACGGCCTGACTGATCCAGCACAATATGCTTCTTTCAAGCACCGCCCATACAAGGAACACCAATTGACGCATTTTGACATGGCATAGTCGAGAGGTGTGTGTGTGGTAGTGGTGGTATATTGTGCAACTGCGTCAATGTTGCATCAGTAGAATTTTTCTTGTTGCATGCAGTAGGACTTTTGCTGCAGACGACGGACATTCCTGTTGCATACGATGGAGATTGCCTTTGCATATGGGGGAACTTCCTGTTGCAGACGTATCTACTTCCTTTTGTATACGACGGGACTTCTTGTTGCATACCGACTTCCTGTTGCATACGACGTTGCCTGAGCAGGATTCCTTGTTGCATGCAGACTTAAGACAGACAGAAGGACTTTTGCTGCAGACGGCGGAAAATCCTATTGCATACGATGGATTGCCGTTGCATATGGTGGGACTTCCTATTGCATACTACTTCCTTTTGCGTACGACGGGACTTGTTGCATACCGACTTCCTGTTGCATACGACGAGACATTTGGTGATGACAGGATTGGAGGTGGAGCATTCGTCCATGATTGGCAAGATGGGGACCAGAAAAAAGGGTTTCAAAATTTTTACGTAGTTTGCATCTTTATTACCGAATAGTGCCATACAAAAACCGAAAGGGAGAAACTGGGTAGACAAAAACAAGGTGGCGCTCCAATCAGCGAGAGACAACATTTGTTAGCTTTAGCCATATAAGAAAAGTCGAATAGAAAAGTAGAAAAGCCAATATCCCTTGGACGACAACTGCTTTAGAGCAAATTATTTGCTTTTTTCCACAACCTTTTCCTCCTTACCGCTGTTATTTATGGACACAGTAAACACGCACTTCATAGTTGAATGTAAACACAAACCTCCATCCCTTCTCACAGAACTGATTATTGGGCCACGATGAGCATGTATATTCTCAATCTCAACTTCAGACTCCTCTTCTGATTCTTCATCTTCCTCTGAGTTCTGTTGACTTGCCTAAAAATTCAAGTTTAGGTTCGAGTATTTGACAAGATTCATTACCTGCTCGCTATGGTTTTCTGCCTCGTGAGCGGGTTCATCCACAGGTGGAGGCGTCCGTGAAGGAACTGAGCCAACATAACTGAATTTGCGTTCTTATTGTTGATTATAATTGAACAAATTAAGAGCTTCACAGATTGTAAATCACCTCGGGGTAGGAGTGATGCTGGCGTCGCTAGCACCTTGCTGATCTGGATCTTGTGTCTTCAGCCAGTCTTTTCTAGAATACATTAGAAATTGAAATTTCACTTTCTATAAGACACATGTGAGACTTAATCAGGGGAACGAGGGGGAGGGGTAAAGAGGGTCAAGACACATGAAGAAAGGAGGGAGAGGACCAGATCTAAAATGTGCAAAAAACTTTTTGCACAACTCGAAAGAACGGTTGTATTTCCGGATTACGATAGGCGACAGTTGTGCTTTTGGAGGCTAGTTGGACACAAGAGGGTAAAAGTGGGTATTTAGACCATACAAGGGTTCATGCGCAGGGCGTTTTCCGGTATTTAGACTATTATACCGTAATCACGCCAGAAGATCCAAAAAGGCTCATGCTTCGCTAATGTGCACCGCATTATGCTACGAAAGCCATTGCAAATCGCGAGCTGTCTCTTTTTTTTTGTCCACTCCAAATTTTGCGTTTTCAAGCTTGCTCTACAACTATAGGCCGCCGCGGTTCGCACAGATTGTAGCGCTGTTGCGTTCATTGAAAACATTTCATGACTGAAAGAGGCGCAGAGAAAAATGCGGCGAGAGTGCACGAGGAAAGAGGAGTGACGCGCAGTGCAGAGTCCAAAGCCTTGAGCGGACAAGATATGGATCCTACCAGTTGCGCACATTTTTTCAAGTTGAAGCTGAACTCACTTCTTTTTTATCAATCCATCTTCAATCTCGGACAGGTCCGGCCGGCCGGGATATTGCATGATAATTTTCTTCGCCTAAAAGAGATGTATAGCCGTATGCGATATAGACATACCATAAGCCGTCCAGGTGAAAAAAATCAACAAGCCATTGGGGCAGAGTACGTGTTAGAAGAAGTGAAAAAGCTCAGAACATTCCACATGCGAAACGCATACTTTGTCGAAGAGAAAAGGTGACTGGTCAGGCGTGGGCTGCGGTCCACCGAGGTGCTTTCGCGGCAGCGTCGGCGATTCGCACTCAGTTGATACGCCACGGCCATACATATCAACGCGACTGTGCTAAAAACACAACTCGGCAGTGTTTTCCGACTAACAGCTACTCATCTCGTCAGTTTGGCTACTTTCAGTCAGTTTATGAAGCGTGAAAAATTTTTTCGAGAATAGATGAAATTCTGGGTAGAGGAACCAATACCGCCGCCTCACAGGACGCGGGACCATTCGAATAAAGTTTGCATGCCATGTGAGGGCTAAGTGATCCGAAAAATTGCCTAACGGCGGCATTCGTTCCTCTACGCAAAATTCTGGGACCGATTGCAGAGTACAACGTGCTGAACTTACTGTGCTATTTTAGAAAGAAAAATCTGAAGTGAAGTAATGTTACATACCACGTAAGAAAACATGCAGAAAGAAAGTATTAGCAAACGTGAAGACGGAGACGTAAGAATTACTTTTGGAACTACAACATTAACACTTTTGCAAGTTTATGGGAAATTTTCAAGAACAATAAGAGCGATCTTAACCTCGACTGTCGAAAAATCATAACAGTGATAGTTGTAAGGGCGGAGTGTGACAAATTTCGCGGAACTTTAGCCTGCAGGTCCTTCTCATACGTCATTAAATGGTACAATGTCAGTTGAGATCAAATTCAGGATCAGGACTCCGAGTTACTGAGTGTGTCAAAAGACCGTAAAATGATGTACGGTAAGTATACGGTTATAAGTGATTGTTCTGAGTTGCATCGTTGTGAACATGCTTTCCTGCAGAATACTCATCTCTTAGCGCGTAAAATAGGTTTTGGAAATTTTTTGAAACTGGAATAGATTTGGGCGATAAAAAATTCAAAACTTTGTAATTATTGTGAAAAGCATCTCATCTGTCGCTGCACTCGAAAAAATTTCTTGACATAATTACAAGCTATAAACAAATCTCGCAATCGTAACTTCCAGAAAATTCGCAAAAATAGTCACTTTCGCAGCTACAAATGTATTAACTGTAAACAAACAGCATAGCGGCCTTACATTAAAAGAGCATAGATACTAAATAAAACTACGTCAGTGAAACTACGTCGTAAGAAAACTAAAAAAAGTTTTTCACGTTTTTGAACTACCACTTAATTTACAATGGTTTTTCCTCCCAATAGTGCTATCGTAAGCGCCCAATGCAAACAGAAAATCTCTTTTGTGCTAAAAACGAAGCCTCACCTGATACTTGCCCTTGCTTTGTCTCTTCGCCAATCCGCGATCGAATGCATCAAGGAATTGCGGTTGTGCGACGACCGGATCCGGCGGTGGAAGCGTGTCGCTCGGTTCGACGACGATTTTCTGCTCCACCTAAACGCAACTCACTCGTTTTCACATCCCATCGAGCAGAAGTGGCATTGCTGCCGCTTCTGTCGCACCTGTTCCACCTCGTCTGCTAATTCCTCCATTTCGCTGTCAGTGTAGTCTTCTTCGTCTTCGGTGTCGGCTTCTTCCACCTCTTTCACTGTTTGCGTTTGGCGATTGATCTGGTTTTCGCTCGGTTTTGGTGTCTTCTTCTTGTCTACCTCGGACTGATCGTCACTGTCTTCGAACGAGGTGGTCTGAATTAAGAAGTGAAGATGGGAAAGGTATTTTTGTATCACTCCGGAAGCACCTGGACCGTGACCTCGGTTGCATTGCTGGTGATGGACTGTTGAAGACTATTCTCCACCTCTGATTCTTCTTCCGGCTCAAATCCAACCTGCAAAAATCTCGGCGTGAAGCTGCCCCAAACAAAGAATCCTTTTCATGTGAGTGTGAGGTGATATTGTGGGAAACAAGTGCTAAATGTTAGTCAAAGAGTATAAAACGACTTCTTTCCAGTACCTCGACACTGACCCATGGTTGTTCGCCCATGGCCGAACGTTTCTCCGACCTCTTGGTTGCGGGCGCTCCCGGAGCCACCTTCGCAGGTGAAACTTGCTGTTTCCGAGCGATATCCTTGAAATATTATGGGTAAAGGCGTGCAGTGGATGGGTGGTGTGATGAGGTGAGATTAGAACATTATGGGTGTACATATGTGTGTGCAAAACAGTAATTTCTACCTACCTGGCTTTGTTGTTGGACGAGTTTACTCGTCTCACGTTGGATCTTTTCCGATTGGGCAGCTAGAAGTTGATGCTAAGAGATTAATCTGTTATATGAAACGAACTAAATTTACCCATTATGCTTTCCAAAAGTTCCTTCACCATAGGACGCGAATCATACATCGGATGGGCTTTTACCCGGGCAACCAAATTCAAACTGACAGGACCTTTCTCCATCTGTTCAAGCACCTGTAAAAAGAGATGGATGTGTGCTAACTTTAGGGCACACTCATAAAACCATTTGTTTTTCTGATATGCAAATAAGAAAATTTTGATAACCCCTTTCGTTCTTAATTTGTCTAAAATTGGAGAGCGTAAATATCGATGAAAAATTGATAATGGTTGTCATCCTTTTTATTCCAAACTTCTGCAAGCAGTTCATACCTGATTCATCAGTATATTCAACGAATCAGCTTCAAGACGATATGCAGCGGCAGACATTGGAGTTCGAAGCGTATTGTTCCGTCTAAAATACCATTTTATTATTTAATTTTGTGGTCGGCAGTAACGTTGAAAATCGAAGCTTTGCCTCAAAAAATTCTACAAACCGCGTACATGTGTTATAACACCTACAAACATTTACGTATGCAGTCTGTGTCAACTACGTGCACCCTTTTTACGTAAAAAGTCATCGCAACGCGACAGACGTGCGTGCGGACTTTCACCCGATAAGGCTACTTTCGTAGCATTTGACGTAGTTATTGCGCGAATGGAAAAGGGAGTACAATCTGGTATAGGGTTACACTAGCCGTATTTCTTTTTGCAAAAAGGACAATCGAGATGGAAAACTTCGCCCCCACCAATTTTGAATTATCTATGTGCAACTACTACAAATTTTCGCACACACAACTTAAGCCTCATTGATATGCCTTGTCTCCCGAGAACTAACAATTTCATCTCGACACCCGAATAATTGTTTTCGCGACAACCCGATAAAGTCGATAATGATAGATTATGATAATAGCAACATTACTGGATTAGGTTGCTCTTACTTCGTTGGAGGAGTTGCTGGTTCTGGCTCACTAACTGGCACAAACGATGGGGCACGTGACGATTTGCTGTTTTTGGCCGCATGCCTGGAAAAAAACAATAAGTAGCAATTAGGCACTCAAGTGCAGATTTACTCACTCGTTTCGAGCGGATTTCGGATCTTCTGGTTGTTCGGGAGATACCTCCCGTTTTGCCTTTGCATCATCATGATTAGCAGGAACAGGGGGTGGCAGTTCCTGTACTTGGGGAGGTTTGAATGGTCCCGGCACCTCCTTGTCTGGGGCAGCCTGAAATATTGATACATGCAGTGTGGTTTGTGTTTACAAATGATGTAATTTTTAAGCCTAATTACCTCCTGTTCTGATACACGCTAATAACTGCTTTTATGTGCTCCAAATACCAGTTACATGCAATGGATTAGAATGATACAGATGGCACATGATACCCGTTGTTGTTATTTAACCAGTTTCATTGTGAAGGGTGCTCAATCGTAATTGTTATTCAAAAGTATTTTCCTCTTTGAGTTCTTCTATGAAACTGCTCCTAATTACTGAAGTTTGTTTTATGCTCAAAATCACTATTAGGAAGAAACAGCAAAACACAAAAAGTTCCTTGCTGACGTTTTTTCTTCCTTAAAGAGCCATGCAAATACGAGTAATCAGTCATATTCATATCAATCAAGATTCATTCAGCAAATTGCCAATCCATGTTGCTACGAACTGCTTGTGCATAGCATAAGAATTAAATCTCACTCGATTTTTACCTCAATTTATGGACCAAAATCATCTTTTCAAAATAGTGCGCGTCCAATGATTTTGTTGTAAGTCCTGAACCTAATATGTTATTCGTTTGCACCAAGTTCATGAGAACAAGCTGAATTCAGATTACCTCGTGGTCTTTTTGAACTTAAATATGTTTTTGCTTCAATGCACATTGAGATAACAATAGATAATAATGAGGCATTTCGGGGAATGTTAACCAGGCAAAAAGCATAATCTCCTCTCAAACAAATGCTACGGGTATATGCTAACTTCTACATCTCATTTGCATATAGTTGAAGTTTATTTCCGACTTGACCAAAACCGGCTTTTCGTGTTTCGCAGATAACAATTTACAGAGCAAAAAACAAACGAATGTTCATCTCTGAGTGGTACCAAATGGTGCATTACTGGCTATCATGTAATAGGATAATAGGAAGATTTGTAATAAACTAGCTATTACCTACAAGCTGTAATTGTTTTCTCCGCCTACTTTTGTTGCTTTTCTCAATATTTAGCTGTCAAGCTATGTCTGATTTGATCTCTCGCATCACAGTGTTGCTCACCTCAACCCAACCTTTTTTCTCTGAATTTGACATTTTGGTTATGTTTTTCTGCTTTCTGGAAGGGAATGCTAGGCATTCGGGCAAGTTTTTCTCTGCTTTTACCGAACACACCGAGTTTTACTTTGCAGGGTCACTGGTCTCCAGAATGTAAATTTTAGTGGTCAGTTTCAGACCACTAGAATTTTGGAATGCATATTTTAGCTGACTAAAGACAATTTTCTGTGTTCTAGGTGACACTATCAGAAAGAGCAAACACACATTTATTTCCCACACATTTCTGAGTCGATTTAAGGCTTCTCAAAAAAAAAAGATTTCGGATGTCCTCATGATGAGTTTTGGATTGTTGAACGATGTATTGTGTACGCTGTAATGAAGTAATGCACATTTCCACACATCTTGTTTTGAGCCTTGCTTCGAGTGGAAAATCATTTTTATGGGAATTTTTTTTACATCGAGAGTGTTTTTTTCTTACATACGTTTTTGTTTCCGCAAAAGCGTCTTCATTTCGAAGTTCAGTCTGCAAACGGAGGACCTCAAAAAAAGGGGGAACAATTCTAATCTATCCCACCCTTGGTCTAAATCCATCGAAGGAGGCGAAAATTGCATAGTTTTTGCGGGTTGTGCTCATCGCATCGGAGCAATACTTTCAAAATTTCTCAAACTGATCGTAACTGCTGCCCTTCTGCTATTACCTTTAATTTTGATTGTCAACTCAATTGGGTGAGTTTAACGCATAAGAGGAGCTTGTCTAAGAGCTAGTTTAGACAAATGGATTATACATTATACATATTTTCAGGACCTAGAGTGCAAGTTCTAAAAACGCAGCGGCTTAGGTTCCCATGCATTCGCATGTGATCACAGCACTTCTAATCGTCTCAGCATCAATTGCATCAATTGTGGGAGCTCCAGTGGTAAGCGCTTACTTTATAAAAACGCTAGAGTCAAACATATTTCAAGAGCACCTCCGACCCGCGCACCCAAATTCAGTCAAAGAATAAACAAAATTGGAGCCTTTCTTCACTACTAATCGCTTCCACTATCTGAAAAAGAAGGAAAACCGTTTACGCTTCCGTTATAAATGTGGTAAGAAAACGGACTCTCAGCGCGATTTGGAGATTTTCGGCTTTATAGACTTTTTCGGGCGAAATTATTACCCACAGAGTCGCTATACTTACCGTCAAATTAACTAGTTCACACGCATAAAGCAGCGCAGGACCCATCTCGGAGGGTCGAGGGGGAAGAAAGGGGCAACTTTACGCGAGGTTTTGTCGCGTAATATTTGAAAGTGTTTATGAAGTAAATAACTGTGCAAATGTCTTGCTCTTACTTGCGATTGAACGTGATAGCATTTCAAGCATTTAGAAATTCAAATTACGTCTGCACATTTTTGTCAGGGTTTGCCCAATGAATATAAAGCAAACTGAACTAAAAAGTGCGGTAAGCGCCAGCCCTTCTACTCGAATTTTGTCCCTATCTCCGCACCGAAAAATTTAGCTTGACATCAGGAAACATTTTCTTTGATAAATACTGCCGAAATTTTCAGGAGCCTCTTGAAGCTGATGTGGACGTGCCCGATACAAATGTCACAACCGTCACAGAAGCCCCCGTTGCATTCCTACAAGTCACCGGAATGAAGACCGGCTCATGTGCCGAACAATGTGCAAGCGAGTTTATCACCATGCACCACATCGAACGTTCGCCGCAGGAGCAAAAGGATGAATCACTCAAATGCATAAAAAGATGTCGTGCAACTGCTAAATAGCAGGCAATACAGATTATGAACTGTTTTGCATGTTTGTGAGTGATGACTGATAGACTTACGACTTTTGGCACGTTGCCAAGTTGATTTTTCGTCCTCTGTTGACCGAGGCGGTTTTCGATTTGACGCAGTCGTTCCAGCGGGTCATTCGCATCTTCCTACAGCAAAATATACATATTAAGAGATCTGAGACAGCTATAAATGTTATAGTGTTTGCAAGCTGCGTTTTGTGCTGCTTTTGTGCCGGCGCCGTGCCAAAACACCTACATGCACCGCATATCGATCGATTGACTTTGCCAGCAGTATTAGCTCGGCGCTGGCATGGCGCTGACACGCGCGACTCTAGACGCAGATAAAAGGACGTAACAATAACCTTATGTTTGCTCTTTTCCTGCTCATTTACTCCTCTTAAGCTCTTTTCCTCGCTTTTCATCTCATCAGGCTGTCCATCTTTGCGCACCTCAAAAAATTCATTTAACTTTACCAATCACCCAAAAAGCAATATAAAACATACCTTTGGTGGCTTGACAGGTGAATTTTCATTGTATTCCTCAGCCTGCTTTCGTCGTCTTCTGAACTCTTCAATCTTCTTACGTGTTTCATTGCTGAGGTGGCCGAATTCCATAAAGACATCAGTCTCATCGGCAAGGTCCTACAAGTGAACTACTATAAGATGAGTTATGAACTTCATTGAATACAATACAGTGTCCAACTGTCCTATTCTAAAATTTACATCGAGGGAGAACTTTCATTAACTTCGCATAGAATTCTAGATTTGAGTTTTTGTAGTAATTTCTAAGTATAACTTGAAAATATCTATTGCAAATAGGCTAGCCTTATAAAATTTTCGTTGTAATGTTGCCACCAGTGGTAGTCGCTACAGTAGAACAAATTATAAAATGCAACAAACCTGCACAATCATTGTTTCTGCCCTTTCTGTCAAAGGTGTGTGGTCGGTGATCTGAACACGAAATTTCACAATCGCATTTTATATATAGAAACCGCTAAGATTCTAAAAAAATTTAGTAGTTTCACCTGATTTTCGGGCAACTCTTGGATGACAGGCATATTATCTTCGAGGTTCAACCACCAATGATTGGCGATGTCAAAAATATCAGCTCGGCGTTCGGGATTTACTCGTAACATATTTCGAATCAGCATAGAAGCAGCTAAATTATTTCTGTTGAAAATCAAAAATGTTTACACAACTTTTTTCAAAAGCGCAAACACATTCGCACAAAGTTGTGACTGTGATAAAGCTGGATTCTTTAAATTGTGTGGAGAAATGATTGCTTTTGGTGTATTTTTTATTTCATGATCTTGGATATGCTTGGACGAAAGTAGCTTTTACCAACTAGTATAAATAACTTATCCACGATAAGTGTTCCACTTTCTTCCCCTCCCTCAAAAATGTTTTTGATCGTGATTTTTTTCGAAAATGCGATTGTTGCGAATCGCCCAGTTCCCTAGTGGGTATAGCAACTACTTCTCAGAGCAATAAGCAATTCATTTGTCAGTGTCAAAGGTCAATATGTTACAAGGACTCCATACTAGAGCTAAGCTTGAAAAAATGTCAATCAACTTACTCGACGGAGTGTCAGGTTCGTAGTAGGCGCCCCGTTTGATCTGTCGTACCATTCGATTGAAGTCACGACCGTCAAATGGCATGGAACCGTAAACTAGTGTGTACAGAAGGATTCCCAACGACCAGCAGTCAACCTTCAATTCAAATTTTAGAAATTTCAACAAATAGGCACAAAATTTAGAAAAAGTTATCACCTCAGGACCCCTATAGGGTGTTCCGTTGATGATTTCCGGAGAAGCATACAGTGGACTACCGCAGAATGTAGTTAAGAGCGTCTGAAGATACCGTACCTTATAAGACATTTCCCACATCCAAAAAACTGCTTACCTTATTCCCGAAATAATTGGACAATCCAAAATCAGCGATTTTAGCGTTGTTGTCCTGGTCGAGCAGGATGTTCTCGAGTTTGAGATCACGATGCGCCACTTGGTGCTGAAAAAAAAACGGTTTATTTGCAGAAAATTTTGCGAGAAAAAAGTTAGCCTCTACCTTATGACAATACAATACAGCCGAAGTGATTTGCCTAAATATACGTCGTGCCTCGCTCTCTGGCAACGATCCAAAACGCGACACATAGTCATACAGCTCACCACCACTGGCATATTCCATGACAAGGATAATCTTCTCCCGATTTTCAAATACTGTAAGGGTAATAATTGAGATTATCACAAAGCACGATATTGGTGGACTAACCTTCGTAAATTTGTATGATGTTCGGATGATTTAAAGCGGACATGATCCGAATTTCGCGACGTATCCGAACCAAGTCGGCTTTGTTTTCGATGGCACTCTTCTTGATCAACTTTACGGCTACCTAGAGAAATTTGGGTAAGGACATGCTTTCGATTCGCATAATCATGGGGTATTCTTGATAAATTCATCACAAACTGCATTTCCTTATACCTAATAATCTCAATAGAACTCCTGAATATCCTGAGGGATTGCTGTCTAGCGACTGGACTTTTATTTTGAGATTAAACCGAATCCCAAAAATGCTCCAGATGCTTTTAAAAGATGCAGTTTGCTTGGTACCGATGCATTTTCTCTGTCTTTGAAGAAAGTGAAGCTCACAACAAGGCTCAAAACTTAAAATTTCGTCAAGTTTAGAACTTAGCAGAGAAAAGTGGGTGTTTTTGGAGAGTTTTTCTTCTGCATGCTTCAAGTTAGTGTCACATATATTATGCTAAATAATGCATAATGATAAACAAAATCTCGAGGGTTGCTTGTGTTTTCGAGTATGATTGCATAAAATCATTTCAATATCTCCTTTGAACTTTACTGAGAAGTTTTTACTGTCAGTCACTCCTGCACAAAAGATTTTCATTCACTTAACATTAAAGTTTGGAGTTCGCCAAGGTCACAGCGGAAAAATCGAGTGAGTTTGTTGTGCACAGAGTTATCGAAAGTCTTGATGGTCACATCCTACTTTTTTGAGCTGCCTAAGATTTAATACGATAATTACCAAACCGTTCAAAAATGTTTCACTGCAAAAGTATTCGTAACTGCAGATCCCCAGAAGCTCACGGGATAACACTGATCAATATCCGCGAGATAACCCCTCGTCCTTCGAAAGGTTCGAGATAAGCGCGTTGTAATAGGCACAGGATCTATTTCCCTCACATCAGCCCCAACGCAAGCGCAACACTACGCCTTTTCTACCTCAGCTTAGTCACCGCCTTGGTGATTAAGTTCCAGTGATTTTGACCTCTTGGCCCAAGCACGAACCCTCTTACCGATGATGAACAACATTTGCCGCCCCAAAAAGCGATTTCAACAAAACTAAGGGCACTAAGTGACAAATGTTGACATAAACTTGCGCCACCAACACCCCAAGGGGCCCCATGAATGAAAGCTAAAGCTGTTGCGTCTGTCGTAGGCAACGCTGCTGACCGTTTAACAGCCCCTTTGGGAGCAGTGTCAAAGTTCAAGTTTATTCTTTACGCAGCCTACTCGCGAGGACATTACGTCATACCGTACTTCTTAAAATACAATTAGAAATATCTCATTTTCAGCAAATTTTCCCTCGCGTAGGACTTGTGGAACAGAGCACTTATTCCGAAAGTCAAGTTTCAGAATTAGAGAATTTTGTTCCTGAATAAAAAGTGATGCATTCGTTTATGATAGGTATGAAGAGCAGGTGGAATTTCTGAAGTTTATTTTAAAAAGCCTTGACAAATCAAATAAGCGACTAAAATCTCGTTGTGGAGGACTATTGATGTGTATTCTCGGCAAATATCTCATGTAGACTTCCTCAGAAAAATTATCCCTTAAAAACTGTGGAATTCAAAATTCGTTCCTGGGTAAGCGGAAACAAAATTTTCGATGACTTTATTGAAATTTTTGCCTAAAGTGATACTCATCAAGGGCTCCACCCGGACACGTAGGTTCATTTTTTTCAAAGTTGAAAACACTCTTCCCATTGATGCCCAGGAAAGTTATGAGGTACCCATCTTCATCTGTACAAATGAGACGGAGAATTCTTGTTGTCTAACATTAACGTCGGTTTTCCTAGCATTCGCTTCTTTAAAAAGCAGAACTCCACGACCACCGATAGTATGTCAGTAAATTGTGCCAGCAGTGTTTGGCACATTGCGAAATCGTAATGACTCATCTTGAAGGTGTTAAGAGCACGAACGCGAAAGCGGTTTAGTGTAAAAATTGTGCATAGAATTGTTTAGGGCTACTGTCAACGTTGGTTATGAAAATAATAGTGAGTAGATTGAGAAGATAGATTACGCTGCATAGTCCTCACGCTCAATGTAAATTTTACCAAAATACACAAATATATTCCGCTGTTTCATTTCCTGTTTGCAGTTCTGCTCAACAAGAGTGATTTTGTGTTGTAAGGATACGACTGGAATGTTACTCCTTATAAAAAGATTTTGAAAGTGTTATTCCGCCAAAATATACTGAGATTAACTAGCTTTCAAGTAAAGCTTAGCATTCGTGCACCTTCGCAAGCGGTAATGCGCTTGACATGTTTTTTTTCTGTTCAAATGCAAACATGCAGCGCAATGGCAGGTAAAATTGCGGAGGTGGATCAAGTTTTCTCGGAAATGAGCATTCTTAATGCAGATAAAAAAAACATATCGGCTAGATTTTATGTACAATGAGAAGGTAATGAGAAAAAGCAATTATCCGAAAAGCTACCTCAAAAGCACTCTTTTATCTAGGCTAATATATGCGTATTTGTATGAGTGGACCAACGATTGATAGGGAAAGTCTGAAATTTCCAACTATCCTCTTTCTTCTCAGAGTTAGTGCTAACGCTATACAATCGGAGGGGGGGGGGGGGAATTTCTACGAGAATTTCTGAGAATTTTTGTAAATGGTTTATATACAGAAAATATTGATGGAATTTAGTTTCTTCTCGTTCTGTAAAAAAAAGATGCTGCGGAAAAAGACTTCTATCCCGACAGGGATTTTGACTGGATTTTGATATCCATTCGGTTTTCAAACTCTAGATTTCCAAGTAAGGCCTTCGTCATAGTTTTATCTCAACACCGCGCCCAGAATCCATGAAAACGTAAAAGAAGAGAGCCAGGTTTTTGCTTACCTCTCGCTCGAACTTGTGATCAAAGGCTAGTGACACTTTTCCATAGGTGCCAGAGCCTAACTTCTTTGTAATTTCGAATCGATGCTTAACATCCTTTTTCGACGGGCTGGAGGGATCGGGTCCCGAGAGAGGATGACCTCCTGAAATATTCACCTTATCATCCAATACAGACATCATTCATTGGCTTTTTGTGCAACTATGCTGATCTCGGAGATTTCTGTCGTTCTCTATAAGCCCCATCTGCCGAGGCCAGGCTATACAGCATTGCAACCATTTCCACCAAACCCGTCACTGCGGCCATTTTCTCACACCTTTTCCGCGCTATTATTTGACACTTCTAGCAGCGAGGTTTTTCGCTGACACTGCCATTGTGTCGCAGCCAGCTGTCCCCAAGGAGCCTATTTTCGCAGTTCAGTTAGTACTAGAGTGAAACAAATGGGATAGGACCCAGATGGCTATAGCTTAGGCACCGCATATGCACACCGTAATTATATATACCTCTTAAAATCTTCACTACAAGGTGCCGAGTTTGGGTTACAATCTATTGGAATTAATAACCAAATAAATAATATTACAACAATGATGATATGGATAATAAAAAATCAATAATTATATAATGATAAAATCATCATAGAGCTTTCCTTGATCAGGAGAAGAAGAAGCGTGAACTTCTTTTTTGAATATAGAGCGGCGTGTAGAGCTTGTAAGTCCTCTACATTTTGCAGTGCCCGAAATTATTTTGAGTTTAGAAAAAATATACAGAGTGTCCCAAAAAGATGTGCACACTGTTTGATCGTTAATAACTCTCTTGCTTTCATGTCTTTTGCCGAGCTTGAGGTACCATTTTGTAGAACGAGGATAAACTTAGATTTGCAGCATGGAGCGAATCACCAATCACTCTTCATTACTGTAGGATCACGGTATGAACTTCTAGCATACAGCGTCACTGTGGAATAAGCCTTTTGATGAAATAATTTTGAAAAAATCCAAAAATTTGTGTAGCAAGGTTTTCAGGCGTGCTGATTTCACTGCATAACTTTCCACCAGTTTTTCGAGCTTTCTTGATGGCGTATTCACTTTTCTGACGAACATTGGAAAATTAGTTGTTGGCCTAAAATCTGAAATAACTCATGAAAGAAATAGTATACTGAAGTGCAACTTTCATATTTAGAATCAGCGACTTCGATTAACCCAGTTCAAGAGTTCCTGGCTTGTTTGGCTTTATTTCTGAGGCAAAATACCGCTTCCAATGGCCTAAAATCCTCCTCGAAATTCCTACCGTAATCCTACAGTAATGAAGGGCTGCTGATAAATCGCTCCATACTGTAAATCTAAGTTGAATCTCGCTCTAAAGAATGGTACCTCATATTCGGTAAAAGAAATGAATACAAGAGAGTTATTAACAATCAAATAGTGTGCACATCTTTTTGGGACACCCAGTATTAGTCGATTAATTGCGATCCGCAATTTATTTTCAAGATTCGTGAAGTCTGAATTCTGAGAGGGAAATGAATTTCTGAGAAGGCTACCGGCATTCCGTTCTTTCCGCCAAGATACTGAGACTTGATATAGGGCTCTGCAGGATCGCGAGAGTCGGTGAGTTTGCGGCCATTGCGCACGCAGGATGCTACATGGCCTCAAACCACTCAAACAATCCTGTACTTGTCGGAATGCCTCAAATAATTGGAAGCTTACATCTGAGAGCAAAAAAACGTCTAAAAGGAGAAAGAAAACCGAGAAAGCTCAATGCGCGAGCAATGGCCGCAACTTCACCGACTCTCGCGATCCTGCAGGCCCCTATATGAGTTCGTAGATTATGAACTTTTTAAAGCTTTGTTTTATCCTAAAGAATGGGTGCAGCCATTTTCTCATTTCACAATGTCGAATTATCTCTTCAGTATCATGATAAACAGATCAACGTAGAAATCATGAACTAATCTGACAGTTTAGTCAAATGCGAGAATTACAAAAATTTGGAGTTCTTCAACCAACTGAAAAAACCAAGATAGTAGAAACTGAAATTATTGAAGCACGCAGCACTGCAAATTTTCGAAGAATGATAGCATTTTAGCTCAATTTTGCACATAATATTTTCCGCACCGACACCCTACATTCAGAACGAAGTCGCTTTTGAAAAGCTCTTCAAAAAGCCTCTGTGTGCGGCTGTGTACTTGGATTACGAAAAAAAACGGTACTAATTTTCCTTTGGTTCGGAACGCATTCGGCAACAATAACTTCGTTACCCAAAGGTTAAAAGCATCATCTACCTCTGACACGACCGTAAGAAGCATTACCCGCTGATTTACTTTACAATGTGCGTAAAGCTAATGATGAATAACAACGCGCAAATTTCCCAGGGAATCAGCCGAAAATCATGGCGCATACCCTGAGGAAGACAAAGCTACGAACCACATGGTGGGAGCATTCATTTACATAAGTTCCGGTATTTCTAGGAAATTTGAGTGGCTTTGATTCATGAAAGAATCTAATCAGATTCTCAGATGGATGTTGGTTCTTTGAGACTGAAAAACGCCTTTAAAAAAGTAAATAAGAGTTTATTTTGTGAAACTGAATTAGTAAAGTAGTTTTTGCAGGTAATGCGAATTCTAGACAGATGCTAAGTAGTTGCATACAAACTTTATCTTGTTATTAACTTTTGAAAAAATCCACTAAAATTGGTGAAAAGGAGAAACAAAATAGTTCAACGGCCAGGAAAATGTAAAACAACAACAAGAATCTACTCATCTATCAAAATATACTTGCACTCATTTACTTCGCAAATCTCTTCGTCCAATCGGAAGACTAAATTTGCTGTAATTCCTAGTTAATGTGAGCAAGAATGCAGTCATCTTTTGTTGTAATGGTGGGAGTTGATGTGAGCAATCGTAGGAACCTTTTGGGTTTGCGCTGAGAAAGAAGGGGGAAGAAAGCTGGAAAAACAAAAATTTATCAATTACTAGCTCAAGGTCAATCTCTGCGCGCAGTAGCTTCTTCGGGAGAGTAATACTACCACTAATTGAACGTGAGTTAGTGTTTAACCGCATATTTTGAGAGAAATATTATTTTAGTTTCTTAACTGATGCAGTTTCCTATGATTCAGTTATTAATCAAGATAAATGTTTCTCGAACGTTCTTTCTTCTTCCTAAGCGCAGTAAAGACTATTGTAAAGAGCAATCCCTCGGCTAAACAAACTACTTTTCTAACTACTTATGTAACGTAACTATGATAAGAAAGATTATTCGGCCTCAAGATTGTTGAGAATTTTTTTGGAAAGTATGAGAAATTATAACTTACTCTACGATGTGGTAGAATAGCGCGTCTGTAAGTTTTGTAGCCAATGACCAAGCAGTGGAGTCAAATTCAGAGTTTACAGGGTTTTTCAGAAGAAAATGCTGCAAAAAATGTCGAAGGTACTCACTTTTTTGGCCATCTAGGCCATTCGATGCCTTTTTATGTTCTTCGGTCATTCTCCGCTGAAAAGTGGGAAAACCGTACCTTTGCCATACCACTAAGTTCACTTGGTCTACCCTTACTGTGGTCTACCCTTACTGTATAGTGCGAAACGTTTTCGATCGCTTCTTGCTTAAGAGTTCTATACTGCGTAAAATTATCTCAACGACCAGCCAAATTTGCAAAAAAATTCCCCAGTTCAAGATTTTTTGAAATTTTTGTTCAAAAGATAACGTTTTGTAGCACAAAGCCTCGCAATCGCACAGCGATTGATTTAGATTGATTTTTTTTTGATTTTTTTTCATCAGCGATTGCTTTTCAGCGACCGATTTTTGATTTAAATACAATGATTTTCGTGAGTTTAGGGCAGAGTTTAAGGAAACGACTTTGAATTTTAGTCTTCTGTAATTGAAGGCTCAAAACTTCCCAATGAACAAAGTACAAAAGCGAAGGTATCAAGTGATGTTACCGCGGTAATTAGTTCTGCTTTGAAAATCGGCCTTTGAAAGGTTATGAAAAATTGCGTTAATTACGAATCAACCTAAGATTTGGGCATCACGAAATGAGGGATGAAAGAGACAAAAGGTACGATTTTTCTCTATCATGGCATGTTATTAAGGCCATGTATGTAGTTTATAATAGAAAGAATGCCTTTGCAGCATTTGTACCTAAACGTCCCAGTTCAAGCAGGTTTTTTTCGCAGTTTACATGCTTCATCTAGATAGTAATAGTAGTTCATAAAAGGCAACCAAAATTGGTTAATCTTTACATTATTGTTTCTCTCGCTTTTGTCATCTTCTTAATCATTCTGCTCACAAAAGAAAGTGCCAGTTCGAAATTCATAAGGTTCTGAACTTGATATACTCGCTATATAGATTCAGTATCCCTCACTGGTCCCTACTTCTTAAGTGTAAATACGCAACATGTGCCAATTACGTAACTACCTCCATGATAGCGAAAAAAGCCCAACTTTTTGTGACATTCCAGACTTCCACAGCTGTTGCAGAACGTGCTCAAAAAGAATACGACTAAAGCCTTTGATATCACGCGTCAAACTTTCCAACGATTGCCATTTGACGTGCAATCAAAGTCATATCAAACTTGCATAAAAGGATTTCTTTCCGTGTCTGCAGACGGCAAACACATTCAAAACAATAGAATGTGATGATTGAATCACACGGCCACAGCACGGGCACGCGCGACAAAACCAAGACGAGGGGGGGGGAGAGAAAAAATGGTGCTACTTGCCTCCATGCAGAACTCGTCGCACCAGCTTCGAGATGTAACCAGTAGAGCAAATGAAAGACATGCGTATCGATCGATGTGCCGACGGATCACCTGTCGGCCGTGGCAGAATAGCATGAATAGGCTACGGGAGTGCAGTCTATGTGGATGCGTGGACATCAGAACCGTAGGCCGCCGCAGCGGCAGCACACATTCCGTTGGCAGCAGCGCTGGCGGCAACGGCGACGACGGCGACGGAGGGCGGGTGCTCTTGCGGGGACTCAAAAACTCTCCGCGCTCCGAAAATGTGTGTATTTGTGATTTTCGACGTAAATGACAGCGTCAAGCGCTAAACGACACTTTGCGTGATCTCTAGGGAGAACACCCAAGTCGGCAACATGAAGTTTGTGTATGAAAGAGCAGTGGAAAGCGGTAAGGGTCACGAGAAGAGGTTAGACAACAACT